CCCGCCTCTCCAGCAAGCCGACCTTATGAGCAACTGAGAACGGCCCAGCAAACATACCCAGCGTGGGGCTGCCTGGCGTTCTTTAGGCAAACTGTCCCCAAAGCACTGTACATAGTTAAATAATAAAAGGCAGCAGATGGCGAACGGTATGAATTACAGAATACAGGACGGGAAAGGCAGTTCATGGGGAATAAATGAAAGCATTAACTCATCAGGCCACTATCACAGGCAGTGGGGAAAGCGAGAGGTTTGCAAGTGAGATCGGAAAGTACATGGAGATTCAGTGGGGAAGAGAAATGGTTCCGAACAGCAGAAGCTGCAGAGGAGAAAGCGCTTGCACTAACACTGGGGAGACTGAGGCAGGGAGGAAGTTAGTGTGGTGTTCGGTGCTTGAAAGAGAGACTCGATTAGTTCCCAACTGCTTTTGTATAACAAGACATAGGCTTCTGCGGGGCCCCTTCCCCAGACTTCCTGTCGGCCACATTCATGGAAAGGTTTGGAACCAAAGAGGGTGACTCTGCCCCATGCTTTTCAAATCCCACTCACAAATCAACAGCCGGGGTCTGATCAGCAGCTCCATCCTCAGTCCTCATGGCCACCCTCCTCTGTCAATCAGCTGGGACAGCACCAGCCAGGCTGCTGGGGGAGGAGATCAAGCCACAGCAGAGAGATTGTAAAGCAGCGGCCGGTTGCCCCCGGGACAGAGCTGGCGATGGGCTGAGCGTATCGTTCTGGAGCGCTTGCTACAGCCTGGGCCATCGTTACAAGGGTGCGTGTTGGTGCCCCGAGCGGGCGGGGGAGCCTTCTGATGGGGTGTGCCACAGAGGAGCACCTTATAGGTGACACTTAATTTAGGATGAAATTCCCCCTTGCACAGAGCCAGAGCGCAGGGCCTGGGCAGCGCTTGGGTTTTCACCCCTATAATACACAGTCTATGAGGCTGCCACAGAAAGCTTTGGGCAGCTGACAGGCAGGCTCCCTCCAGAGAGGGCTGGGTTTGTGCTCTGATGGTAGGGTTACCATCTGGCCGGTATTTGACCAGCCTGGCCGGTTTCTTTCTGGATTTGGCAGTTGCTAGAAAAATAATTGAATCTGCAGGGTTTTTTTCCCCCATGGGTCTAGAGATTGGCATTATTATCACACTACACTGGGAGAGCTAATGTCAAAAGTTTCTGTGTCCAACTAAAGAGGCTGCAGTGTTCCCCTTGCCGCAGTTTAAGCGCTAACAGATCAAAACAGTTGAAAATACAGCAGGTGTCCTCCCGCCACCGTGCGAGTGCACCACGCGTGTGTGCAAGAGAAGGTTAGAGTCACATGAGTGGGAGGAGACGTGGGAGGCATATTAAATAATGGAAGAGCAGGGCGATGGTGCGAGAGATCCTACTACAGCCCTGGAAAAAAAAAACTCGCATCAGAAACTCCACATTCAATGACAACTGGCTTAAACGAAACAGACTACAAAGATTGGCCGGGGGAAACGTGCTAATAGAACACCCTTTGTTATCAGTGATGCTATCAATCGTCTCTTTATGTGTTCTCTCTCCAGATACTGTAAGTGGCTATCGGGGGTTGGGGTTGCTGTAGACTTGCCTTGTGTGTGTGTGTGTGTGTGTGTGTGTGTGTGTGTAGGGGGGGGAAGGTTTGCATTTCAAAGGTGGTGACCCTATCTGGTGGCTGGGCAGACATCATGGGCGCTATTAGCACGTATCGGAATAAACACAGCCTGCGCTAAGCTTTTAGCCCCCACCAATAAGCAGAGGTGCAAGGAGGGGGGGGGAACCATCTTGACAGAACAAGGAGTAATGGTCTCAAGTTGCAGTGGGGGAAGTCTCGGTTGGATATTAGGAAACACTATTTCACTAGGAGGGTGGTGAAGCACTGGAATGGGTGACCTAGGGAGGTGGTGGAATCTCCTTCCTTAGAGGTTTTTAAGGCCCGGCTTGACAAAGCCCTGGCTGGGATGATTTAGTTGGGATTAGGTCCTGCTTTGAGCAGGGGGTTGGACTAGATGACCTCCTGAGGTCCCTTCCAACCCTGATATTCTAGGATTCTATGATCTTCCAAGGTGTAGGGATGGAAGAAGGGTCTGTGTCAGAGAAGTCAGTTTAGTTCGGACCCTTGGTCTCCTGGGGCCTTGTGGGGACGTTGATGCAGTCAGTGGGTAACGCTGATCATCGTCCTGGAGACTTCAGGGTGAGGGTAGTGCAGTGGTGAGGGCTTAAGCGTGGAATTCTGGGAGATCCGTGTTTAAGTCCCTACTGCAGGATTCTTGTGTTGAGCTTGGTCATGTCACTTAGCCTCTTTGTGCCTCAGCTCCCCATCTATAAAATGGGGATAATAGCAGTGGCCTGCCTCCCAGGGTGGTCGGAGAGTGAATACGTTACATCGCAGAGGGGTAGCCGGGGGCCATGTGGGTAGCCTAGGTAGATCCTTGCAAGGCAGCATGAACTGCTGTAATATGTGTCTATCACGGCTCCCAGCCTGCAGGGTGGGAGGGATTTCATGGTTGCCGGGGGCTGTATGGTGTGTGTTTGGGGGAGGATGGCTCACTTGGACAGTCTGCTCTCCTGGCTGGGCTGGGCTTAGCAGCGGCAGTGGGCATCATCGGGTGTGAGATCCAGGAAAGCAAGTCCAAGGTGGCTTTCTCTTGGGCTTCACAGGTCATGTCCTGGCACAAGGGCTACTAGTGTTGCGGAGAAATGGAAGCAGAGAACAAGCACGCTTGGCAGGGGCATTCCTCAGGCCGCCTGCTTTTGCGTCCCCCCCACCCTTCCTGGTAAAAAGCTTCCCGGTTCCGTTGGCCTCTGTGAACTACTCTCATCGGAGAGCGCGGTTTGCGCAAGGGACTAGGCGTCAGGACTCCTGGGTTCTATTCCTGGAGCCTGATCTTGTGGCTGAAGCACAGGACTACGCATCAGGACGCCTGGGTTCTCTTGCCGGCTCTGTCGCTGACTCTTCTTGTGACCTTGTAATATGTGTCTATCACGGCTCCCAGCCTGCAGGGTGGGAGGGATTTCATGGTTGCCGGGGGCTGTATGGTGTGTATGGGGATGGCCCACCACTCAGCTCCTGGGAGTGAAAGGACAGAGCTGATCAGACGGGTTTGAGGCGAGCTAACCCAGCTGTCTTTGCAATAACTTTCCTTTTGGGGGTGAGCTCCTGGCCCCACTGAAGCCAAGGGGAGTTTCACCATTAACTTCAGTGTGGCCCAGGATTTCACCCCTCTGAAATTCACACGCACGCTTTAGGCCTGGAGCAAATCCAGTGCGTCGAGATTTTTTGCTCTTTCACGTCTGTGCTGCAGCCAGCAGGCAGGCAGGATTTATTCCAGGGCGAGAAACTCCCCTTTATTATTATTTATTATATGTATTGTGGTAGCAGCTAGGCTCAGTCATGGGGCAGGGCCCCATCGTGCGAGGTGCTGTACAAAAACAAAACAAATGGAACCGGTCCCTACTTCTTTGTGCCGGGCCTGACCCAATGCAGCTATTGTGAATGATCACGATCATTACTGCAGTGCGCAGGGACCTCCGTCACAGCCCAGGACCCCACTGAGATCCAAGGGGCCGACACAGAACAAAAACGCTCCGAAACGGCGCAGCCAAGGCCCCGTGGGCCGCAGCTTGCAGACAGGACGCTGCAGCGCTGGGAGTTATTCCTGCAGGATACTGCAGCCTACGTTCAGTCAGGTGGGGCCTCGGCCCCCACTGTGACCTCCCTGGGAAACCCCTTTAAACCCAAACACGTCACCGATGCCTTTCACGTGTGCATTCAAAGGCAAGCAAAACAACTGGACGTTCCACGTGCGGCTGGGTGAGCCCTGAGCAAACCTCCGGCTGGGGATAGAGAGGCAGCTTTACTGGCTTCCTCCTTGCACTCTGGAAGAGGCTTGATGGATGAATGACTCATTGACATCACCCTCACCCCAGCAACAACCTGAGGTTCCTAGGCAGTAGTCCCCTCTCCCTGTGCCTCCCTGGAGGAGACGAGTCACAGAGGCGGTGGATCGACGTGTGACTCTCTCGCCCGTCGATCGTCTGCAGTGCCAGGGGGGTCCCGAAGCGGGCAGGCTCTCGGAGAAAGCGAGAGGGGAAGAAACGAGAAAGGACAAGAAGAAACGTGTCCCCGCCCCCCTCCAGCTGCACCCCGCAGTTCTCTAGAGCCGGCGGGTCTCCCATTCTGCAGCAGCTACCCACCAAGTCCTGCCCCCCCTTAGCTTTCACCTCTGAGCGGCTGTGTGAAGGAAGAGAAGGCAGCTGCCGGCTGCTCTGTGTCTGTGCTTGTGTGGGGCCCTGCATCTCTTTCCCTCTGTTTCTCTTTTACTTCTCTCCCTCTGGCATTCCTCTGTCTCCTCTCTCCCTCTGCATCAGCAGCCCGGCTTTCTCCGAGGACTAAGACTGGCAGCATCTGGAGCCCTGCCCAACACAGGGCTGGGAGGATGCTCGAATCCAGCCGCTAGCAAGATCGGAGCAGAAAAATCAAGCCGTCGGAAAGCACCGCTGCTCCGCAGTACAGCAGCTCGGCAAAGTGGGCAGCCTTGTGCATCGGGCGCTAGTTAGCCGGCTGCGAGCTGCCTCGCCTGGTTTTCTGCTCTCTCGTAATCTCATCGCTGTTCAGCGTCTGTGTGTGTGTGTGTGTGTGTGTGTGTAGGGGGAGGACTTTATTTCCATTGGCTAAGCTCTCGCTTCCCACCCACATCTCTTCCACATCACCTTGGTGTCTCCCTCAATAAAACCAGCCCTCCTTATCGCACTGAGGAAATCAAGAGCCAGAGTTTGAATGGATTTTATATAAATATTTACCCCTGCTAGGCTACTGCTGAGCTCCTAGGAGAAACTCCCAGCAGCAGCTGGTCTGATCCTCTCTTCCTCTCTCCTCTCCTGCTCCCCAGAGATAAGGGGTGCAGCCCATTGGAAGGTGGTGGTGGGGAGCTACAGTTCTGTCTGTCTAGAGAGGCACTGACCTGAAAAATAGTGCCAGGATTTTAACAAACTACCCCAATGGATCTTAAGGACAGCACCAGCGAGGGCAGCATGGGAAGCCTGGAGCCCTCCAGCATCCAGATGTTTGCCAACACTTCCTCCCTCCATGGGATCCGCCACATTTTTGTCTATGGGCCGGTGACGATAAGGCGGTTGCTGTGGACCATGGCCTTTGTGGGCTCGCTGGGTCTCCTCCTGGTGGAGAGCTCGGATCGGGTGGCTTTCTATTTCTCCTACCAGCACGTCACTAAAGTGGACGAGGTGGTGGCCAACAGCCTGGTTTTCCCTGCGGTCACCATCTGTAACCTCAACGAATTCCGCTTCTCCAGACTCACCACCAATGACCTGTACCATGCCGGGGAGCTCCTGGCTTTGCTGGACGTGAACCTGCAGATTCCAGAGCCCCACCTGGCTGACCCGGCGGTCCTGGCCGCTCTCCAGGAAAAGGCCAACTTTAAGCAATACAAACCGAAAATTTTCAACATGCAGGAGTTCTTGGGGCGGGTGGGGCACGACCTGAAGGATATGCTGCTGTACTGCAAGTTCAAAGGGCAGGAGTGCAGCCAGAAGGACTTCAAAACTGTGAGTGTGGACAGAGCTTCTGTTTCCTTTCTCTTCTCTGGGTGTGCGGCCAGGCGTGGGGGCGGAGAATCCAGCAGGTGCTTAAGGTGATGCGATCAGGCCAAGGGTGAGTCCAGAGAGAACCGTCTCTGCTGGGTTCAGGCAGCCTGTTGAGTTGAAGTTTGTTTGCCAGAGGCCTTTCATACTGGTTGATCGTCCCTAGTAGGCTAGCAGTTCCCAAGGGCGGCTTGCCATCAGAGCTGTGATTTGGACGGGCCCCTGCCGACCCGCCTAGCAGATAGTGTGATCCGTGGCTGTCGGGCTGCGGTGAGCGAGCTGCGGTGGCAGGCCGCTGCCTTGGGCTGGACAGATGCTAGTGCAACAGGCAAAGGTGCTGAGGTGGAGAGAGGTCTGAGTGCAATCGTTGGGACAGTAGCCTCTGCCTGGGCTTTGTGGCTTTGATGGACCCGCGGTTTGCGGCCTCGTCATTCGAGGCGGATCCTGCGTTGTCGGCCTGCGATTCTGGCTCCGAAATCCTCGGCGCGGTTGCTAGTTTGCTGTGCGGTGCGGGTCCGTTCCTGCCGCTGCGTTGGCGCGAGAGGTAAAACGAATCCCCCAGGCTCGGCTACGGTCCCAGCGCTGGGTCCGTTCCCTTGGCTGGCTGAGGTGTGAAACCAGCGCTTGAGTCCGGGGAGAGTGAGAGAAGCAAACGGCTTAAGAGTATTTGATTACACCCCTGACGGTGACTGACACTTGCCTGTGGTGTGTCACGGATGGAAAGCAGCCGCTCTAAACACACACACACGCACGTCGCTTGAAAGAAAGCGTGAATTCCTGCGGAAGAGAAAGCGGTGACCGTTCTGATAGCAGAGGGGCCAGGCTTGCATGGGGGATGCTGGCGTGGGTGGGAGAGGGGAACGAGGGTTTCCGAATAGCGCCTGTAATTTTTTAAACATCTGGTTTGATTGCTGACTCAGAGGTGAGTGCTCATCATTTCTTGCTGGGGTCTGTGACTTGCATCGGCACTCTCCTGGTGGGCTTCTCTCCTAGCAGGCTTGGGGAGAGTTAAGTGAACCAAAGTGTGCATAAAGCTGGTTGCTTTCAGACGTTTGTTTCTGCAGGATGGACACTGTTTGCTCTTTTTGCTACCGGTTGTCCCAGGGGTACCTGGTGTGGTTATATTAGCATCGATTGCTAGGCTGTCATAATGGACTGCGCGCTGTCTTTTGATTTCACGGGCATAGGGACCATGTCACCTCTACAAATGCAATCTTTTGTCTCTGCTACGTTTGTATCTTGCGGCTTAAGCTGAGTTGTGCTACTGGCACATGGCTGTGAGGTGGAGAATGTTTTCCTGGAACATCCGAGTGGGGAACGTTGTATTTTATGGAGCCGTAATTGGCAGTTTCCAACTCATGACCCCCCTTCAGGACCAGCTACCTGGTTACGAGCAGGAATCGGTGCTCGGAGGTCATTAAACACAGCTCGGATTGTTCAGAGGAGAGGAAGGTGTATAGAGGTGCATTAAGTCAGGACCGGCACTAAATCCTGTGTTGTTGCCTGGGAACAGACCGGTGTGTGTGTGTCAGAATGGGGATGTCAGATGTGTTTGGGGGGGGGCCGAGGGGGGGTGTGTGGGAAGGGGAAGCCCATATGAGAGTTCAAGCCATAAAAGTATCGTTCAAGTCAGACGTTGGCCTGAGCCGAAAGTGATCCCTGAGCGAAGTCCTCAGACACTGGGAGTGCTCGTAATCCAGATCCCCACAGTGCATATGCCTCTTCCCTCGAGACTAGGCCGCCCCAAACCAGATGCAGACTCGTTATTACGCAACAAGTGTCTATTAGCTGAGAATGAAAGTCCCAAACACTTACAGGGTAACATTTTCAAAGTGCCTCAGTGACTTAGGTGCCTAATTCCCATTTTCAAAACCAAGGCACTTAGGAGCCTGAATGGAGGTCAATGGGACTTAGGCTCCTAAATCATTTGATCCCAGATTCACAAAGGTATGTAGGTGCCTAACTCCATAGAAACCAACGGGATTTAGGCACCTAAATGCCTTTGAGGATCTGGCCCTTAGGAACTTTTGGTGATTTTACCCGAAGCTTAAAATCCGGGGGTGTCACTCTGGAATGACGCATTGTGTTTCTATGATTGAGTTTCCATGAACACATTGATTTCCAAAAAGACGCTGCCCTTCCACGGGCAGCCACCGAACGCTTAGTCTGCCAAAAGAGGCTAGCCCCAGCTAGGACCAGGCAGGGTCTTTGCAGGGTAAAGTAATACTGGTATTCCACAGAAATGGCCCCGATGGGATCTCTGCCGTAGGATGCAGTTGTTTGGGCCCTGCCTGAAGAATACGCTAGTTCTTTTAAGATAACCTTATCTTTGGTGTGTCATGTCTGGTGAAAATCTCTGCTCAAAAGCAAAGGCCCAAATAATGTGCTCCCCTGGTCCCTTTCGCCTACGAGTCCCCCCCACCCCAAACTAGAAGCTGAAGGCTGGTGAATCGCAATCTGTGCATTTGACCGTCAGGATTCAGTCTGTGACCTGTTGCAAGCCACTGCTCCTTTGCCGTGTGTGCCATGTGGTTTCCTGGCATCGATACTGGAGTGGCGCCTGATGGAAAAGGAGGTGCCATGGTTTTAAAGGCTGGTTTATAAATCACCGCGGCACATCCTCCATCTCCTCTAGGGCTGTTTTCCTTTCGCTACCGATTGTCCTGTGGACACGCGGTGTGGTTATATAAGCACTGATTCCTAGGTGCTCATAATGGACAAGGCTCGGTTATTTGGTTTCACCTCTTGGGGGTACCTGGATGTCAAGCGCAAGGCTGTTTCCTAATCAGATGCCCCACCCTGGAAACTCTCGCTCGTCTCGTTCGCTTGACCAAATTGCACATTTCCCAGTCCAGAGGCCAAAGAAACAGGAACCCATTAGCAAGAGGGGGAGGTCTACACTGAAGCGCCGCTGTGAGTGCGGGTGCGCGCAGCGTCTGCTCCCACATGCGGACGTGACAGCCGCACATGTCGTCTTTGCGCTGTGGAGCAAGGCAAGCAAGGGGAAGGCGTAGCCATGGTGCATGGAGTAGGTGGCTTTGCTCCATTCTGCTGTTCTCCCACTTCCCTTCCTATGCTGGCACTCGGTTATTTATTTAACAGGATTCCAGCTGTGTTTTCGGTACACGCTGTGCTTCCTTCCTCCCAGGGTACTGCCAATGCCTCCTAGCCAATGGTTAATCAGATTCTGGGCAGCTCGGGGTAGTGAATTCCTAGGCTTTTCTGCAAAGATGCATCCAAGTGGCTTCCCAAGGACTTAGCCTCCTTCTCTGGGCTGATTCTGGAACTGGTGCGCAAGAGCAGACAGCACTGTGAAAAACGGGAATCCCAGTGGTCGGCGAAGCATTGACTATTAGGCAATAGGTGACTGTGGGGCATGCCAGTATCCCAAGCAGAGTGTTTGGGGGCAGAGGAGCACAAGGGCGCCCCGTTGGGAAGAAGCCCAAATAAATGTGTTCGTCTCTAAGGTGCCACAAGGCCTCCTCGTGGTTTTTGCTGATACAGACTAACACGGCGACCCCTCTGAAACCTCCCCCTTTTTGCAAATTCAAAACCGCTGCTCCTGCAATGCCCCCATTTAAGCATGAACCGGGGCTGCCTCCTACTGGCGTTTTTCTGGGGTGGGGGTGAGTGAAATAGCCCTGTGGTGATGCCACATTGCAGCCGCGGGACATTTCTGCCTTCGTGTCATGCTGATCCCAGCTGCGGTGAGCTTGCAGCCGGGCCCCTCTGCGTGTAACACCGCTGCGTTCAGGGTGGCGTGGAGGCTGCAGCGACGCTTCCCCATTGGGCCTGCGGGCCAGGTGGCCATTCCCTTATTGCGCGGCAGGAGAGCAGAGTCCTGTGCCAGACTCCAGCAGCAGTGCTGCGGCTCTCCAGAGGTGGGCAGGGAGAGAATCCTTGGTACCCAGGCATCGGGCCGTCGCGCGGGTGTGTTCGTGGCATGTACCAAGTGGGGTGTCTGTGGAGTGTACCAAGTGCATTGGGCAGCATAGGGTAAAAAAGGTCTCATGTGCAACCCTTATGCTGCTGAGATCCCTATGCACTCTGCTCTCGTACCAGGCAGGGTAGCTACTGTCCAGCGCTCTCAGCAATGCAGGATCAGGGCCCCCTGCACCCACCACCCAGCTTGGCGCTCTCTCGCTTTGCTTCTCGAATGGTCGGACCAAGCGCCGTGATGGTTTCCTGGGAGGACGCCTAAGAGCTGGGGAGGTGAGGAAGGAGGGGATCGGCTATAGAAACGGGAGAGTGGACAGACTAAGCCAGTGGCAGAGGGCAGACCGGGAAGCGGCAGTGCTGGAGAGGAGAGATGGCACAGAGGAGACAGGAGAGCCGAGGGCAGGGCTGGAGAATAGGGAGGGGTGGACCCACTCCACCCTATGTGTGCACGTGGGATGCGTGTATGTCCCATAAAGAGAGCAGTGTCGCACGCATCCTAGCAGCCATCAGCTCCGCTCGCCCAGTGCCGCTGAGCACAATGGGCGTATCAGGCAGCAGATCCGGTGCAAATACAGAGGACACGAGCGCAGAACAGGAGTATTATCAATGTTGTCTTGTATCCTAAGAGAGAGAATAGCCTGCACCAGCAGAGAGAGAATTGGGGTTGTCCTGAAATTATAACCACACATGGATTGAAATGCATGAAGAAATGTGATTCTATCTAACGTCATCTGCTAATTGAGGACTGTTTTATACATACTGTTGTGTGTGCCCATTTAGGTCAGTGGTAACATTAAGACTTGGTGTGTGTATTTGTCTTTATTGTTGTATGTGTATTTATTTTCAGTACAAATGATCATCAGTAGATAGTCTCCTTACAACAAGGACTGCCTCACGTAAATATTTCCATTAGGGGAAAAATCTACCTACTTACCTACCTACCTAATCTCCAGATGTTCCTTTCTCACTCTCTAACACATCTATAACTACTAAACTGCTAAAATAGCCTTTTTGTTTACTCTGAT